GTCTGCCACGTTGAAAATCTCTCCAGGAGAGATTGTACCTCCAGCCTTCCAGAAGCTCGGTGCTCCAGGGCCTGGTGGTAATTTCACTCTGTGGAGGGAGGCGAAGCCCTCATCTCTTGGGGAGACAAACTGGCCGCCACGCCAGTTGGTGAGGCTGTTGCTTTGGGGCTTGCTGGGAGAGTCCTCCATTCAAGGATTTCTCTCCCGCTGAGGTCTGCATTGATTGAACTTCTGGGGATTTGCTTCGCAGTTGATGCTCTTATAATTAAATCTGAAATAGTAATGAAAAGCTCTAACAAGCAAGATTAGAAGGGGGGAGATTAGTTTGAACAGTTTGTCCAGAGCTCCCCGGCAGCCAGAGTAAAAAGAGAAATGTGCCTGACTGCAGACTCCTTGTCTAAGAATTTTTTGAGTTGGGAAAGGCTCTGCCCTTTCCAAGTATAAAAGTATTTTAAAATACCAAATTTACATTTCCAGAGAACAAACGGTCCCTTGACCCCCAGGTGATCTAATAATGCAACCTGCCCCATCTTCCAGTCTGCCCTGAAAATCTCCCGCCTAGAACCTTTTTGGTGTCTGGGGAGTGTTAAACATTCACCACCAGCTCCTGCCTCCTGTGTGGATACCTGCAGAATCCTCCCAGTCAATCCCCGCTTCCTTGTGTCCCCAGAGCAGCCCCGTCAGGCAGGATGCCTCCTCTCCGTCCCAGAAGTGCCCTGAGTCGGGCGGGGAGGTGGGTGTGTGTGTGCCAGGAGCCGGGTGTCCCGCTAGGCTCGAGCCAAGGGCTTCAAACCCCAAAGCAGGGGTGCAGGTGGCCTCTGTTCTGAAACTTGAAACACAGGTGCCAGTGGGTGGACATGGAAGGGAAGACACCACAGGACAGGGAGAGAGCGGGCAGCCACCCGATCCTTGTGAGTGGCCCAGCGGGGGGCTGCTACGTGGGGGGGACAAGGGACGGAATGAAGCGGGAGAGACGGACACCAGACGGCAAAGCCGTGCCCAGTCCCACTGCATCCCGGAGGCAATGAGGAGCCATAGATGGCTGTTGAGTGAGGGACGCCAGGAGAAGCTTGAGCGGCGGTGTGGTCGGCCCGCAGGTCGCGGGGCCGGAGGAGCGCGGTGGGCGGAAGGGGGAAGCGGCTCTTCCCCGGGCAGCTGTTGAGGTCGGAGTCCAGCTGGAGTCCCGGGGCTCTGAGCGCCCCTCAGCATCCCTCTTGGCTCTGGCCCTGTGCCTGTCGCTTAGCAACGGGATAAGCGCTCTGCACTGCACGCCCACGCTGTTCCATCCCTGGAGGAGACACCACTCCTTCTGAATCTTGCACAACGGCTTCTGCCCTGGGCTGCCTCCCCCGCTGCCCCGAGGAGGGTCTCCTCCCCGAGAGCTCTTTTTGCTTCTCCCCCCCCCCCCACTTCCTGGGCTCCCCCTTTCCTGCCTCCCTCCCCGGCCTCCAGCTCCAAACTGGGAGCTGGGAGCTGGGGCTTGGAGGCCCCTCCAGAGTCAGGAGGGGTGGTGCACCCTCAGCAGGAAGGGGGGTGAAGAGGGCCAGTCTGCCCTCCCTCTGAGACCCGTGGCCTGTGGCCCTTGGGGCTTCCCCGTCTTCTGCCGGAAAGAGCCTATGTTGCTCAGGTGCTCGGGGGTCGGCGGTGGGGCCCTGGAACCCCAGCCCCCTCGCTGGCCCGCTGCTGCCTGGGAAATGGGCCAGCGAGGCCGTGAGGTCGCATGCCCAGTAGGGTACGGTGACGGCTCTGTGCCCTTAATGGGGTGCTTCTGTCTTAGGGTGCGTCTGCCTTGGGGGGTGCTGCGGCCCCCAGGAGTCAACACGCTTGCCCCCGCGCTCCCATCCGGTGGGGGGGGAGGGGTTGTCGCCAGCTCAGCTCAGAGCCCCGGTGCGTGGGACCACACTCGATCCGGTTTATCTTTCCCTGCCGTTGCCCCAGGCCCTTCCACTCAGTCCGGGCTTTCAGAGAAATGACGGGCCCCCCTCAGGACGTGTCTGTCGGGCATTTTCAAGTTTTAGACTTCAGTCGGCTCCGTGCTTTCAAAAGTCAATCTCAGATCCGACTCTGAGCCCTTCCCTGCTCCCCGACCCAGTTTGACCTGGGGGCCAGTGGGTGACGGTGGGTCTGTCCCGCCTTGACCATGACCCCCCCCCCCGCCCTGTTCGCAGCCGGGCTTCAGAGAGGCCGCCCCGCACGTCCTGTGTCCCACGCAAGTTCGCGGCAGAGCTGAAGATCTCATGACCACGTCCGCTAGAGGGGGGAGCGCTTTGGGGCAGACAGGAAGCTGTCTAGAACTTTCTAGAAGGGTCATGCTGGGGCAGCGGCCCAGGCTCAGCCCGTTGCTGTGACGGCAGAGCCAGTCCCCTTTGCCGACAGCTGTTGTCGGCAGGATTCATCACACGGGGTTCTGTACGGTCGTCTGCAAAGCCGTGCAAAGCTATGCTGAGCTCCAGTCATGTTTGGAGAGTGGCGATTGCTGTTGCCATGGCAACGGTCCTTCCGGCAAGCGCTCTGGCCTCGGAGTTCACAGCCCACTATTAGCGAGACTCTGCCCCAGGCTCGCTGGGGTGGGTGTGGGGTCCCCGTCCTCCTGCAGACACAGCTGGCACGCTCCGGGAGCCTCTGGACCACCCCCCGCCCCCGGGGCCGGACAGGCGCGAATATCGTAGCAGGCGGGGTGACAATGTGGGAGGTGTCCTCAGGTGGCTTCCCGCAGGGAGCTGGGCCCCCGGGTCTTCCGGCAACAATCACGGCGTTGGGCCTCTTGCGCGTTTATTCAGTTATCAAACACATCCACGGGCCTGTGGCCTCATAACAAGTGTGTGAGCCTACACTGCTGTTGGCCCCGTAGAACGCACCCCCTTCGTACTGGGCACAGAGAGGCCAAGTGACTAGCCCACAGTCGCACAGCGGGTGAGGGCAGCCAGGCTCCAAGGGCCAGGTTTCTAACCACTGCTCTACCCTGCCTCCTGCCCCTCCCCCCGGCCCTGTGCACAATGCGGTGTGGCCTCCAAGCCCGGTTTCTCGACTCTGGAGCCACCGACAGTTGGGGCCGGATGATTCTGTGCGGTGGGACCATCCTGCACGCCGGAGGGCACCGAGCGGCGGCCCTGGCCTCGCCCACCAGGTGCCTGGGGCATGCCCCCCTCCAGCGGGGACAATCAAAAGTGTGTCCAGACATTGCCAGGTGTTCCCTGGGGAGCACAGCCGTCCTCGGTCGACAGGCGGTGACGTGGAGCTTACAGGGCGAGCCCGCAGTCGAAGCCAGCCCGCGGGAGTCCGGAACTGGCGAGCCGCCGTTGCCTCTGTGCTGCTGGGGACCCACGGAGGTCGAAGGTTGGGGAGGGGCTCTGGGTGCTTCCTGAACTTGAGAAAGGAGGGCGTTCTCTCGGTCCCCACTCATTCATTCACAAGATAACACTCACTCACTGGCCCAGCGTTCTTCGGCTGCCGGCCACGCTGGGCCTCGAGGGGCCCCAGGTGAGCGAGCTGCCTGCTTCCCCCGCCCGCAGTCTTGGAGTGGGACTCTGTTCTCATGCTTTGGGCGTTTGGTGCAGTTTGCATGTGGATTTGGACCGTGTGATAATTTAGGAAAGCCAGAGCTTGACCAACAGTTCTGTGGGCGTCAAATGGTTTTTTTTTCTGAAAACAATAGGACGCTGCCATCTGCCAAGGAGAAGAGCATTTGTGGAGCCCCCGCCGTGCGCCAGGCCCGTGCGTGCCCCCCCCACCACTCTGTGCCTTTGTGTTTTGTCATTCGATGGGATGCCCCCCCCCCCCCCCCCCAGTGAGGACACGGGGCCCAGAGGGGACAGAGCTCGGCCCAGTGCGGCCCCGTGAGCCGTGGGGGCCAGGACCGGTAGCCGGGCCTGTCGCGCCCTGGGCTACCCTCTCTCATCTCGGGGTGCGGGGTCCCCGCTCAGCCTGCGAGCCCCTCGGCTGAGCCCGGGTTGCTGCGGGCTCCTGTGGGCCGTGGGTGCCGTTTGGCAGATGCCTGCTCATCAGGACCCTGCGGGGCCCCCGAGGCCCATCCTGCCCCTGACACACCCAGATACACACACACAAACACACACACACGCACACACGCACCCCAGGCAGGCGATGCCGCCCGTGTCTGTGCCTGAGGCTCCCCTGGCCTGGCTCCTCCCCGTCATCCTTCAGCACAGGTGACACTGGCTGGGGACCCCGGTGTGGTCCCCAGGCCAGGCCTCAGAGGCCTACGCGCTGAGGGGCGGGCCTGGGACCCAGGGGCCATTGAGCAGGGAGGGGCACACTGGGAAGGGTAGCAGGGGCGTGGGGAGGCCAGTGCCCCGACGGGTGGGGGCCATGGGGTGAGGGGTGCGTATCCCCTGGGGGCGGTTCGCCAAGGGAGGGGCCCCCCAGGCTGACCGCCCGGGGCCCGGCTCAGACGCGGGCTGAGGCCCGGAGCACAGGTGGGGACGGGGCGGTCTGTATCGGGGATGCCGATGTCCATATCGGGTACAGACAGCCACGGGAGGAGGTCCAGACAAGTGGGTCGGGAGGGCTTCCTGGGGGGGGGCATCAGGGCAGGTGAGGGCCCAGAGGAAGGAATGGCAGGGGTGACAGCTCAGACCTCCCTAATGCAGTGCATTTCCTCGGGGGGCACGTTGGCCGGGTCACTTAGGTTCACTCTGCTTTAAGACAGAGGAGGACGCGCTGCCTGCCCCTCCAGGCGGCCCCCACCCTGCAGTGTGGTCTTGTCCCAGGACACACCCGCTGCCAGGCCCTGGCCCCGTCCTCTGCAAGGCAGGGCCCTTTCCGCTCCCAGCCCAGGCTGCATGCAGTCGGCGCTCAATGCCTGCAGAGACGAACCTCGTGGCTCGTTTCTCGGCACTTGTGCCGGCTGGCGTGTAGCAGGGTCCCTCCGGCACAGCCAGCTGGACTGTCCCCTCTGTCCCCTCCCACAGACCGTGGGCACTTCTGAGCCCGGAGACCCGGCGGGATAGGCCCCCACGCCTCCTGGCCCACGATGGCCATGTCTGTGTCCCGTTCTTTCTTTCAGGTTGCGGGGGCTGCGGCACGGAAATTAAAAACGGCCAGTCCCTGGTGGCTTTGGACAAACACTGGCACTTGGGCTGTTTTAAGTGCGAGACGTGTGGGAAACAGCTGGACGCGGAGTACATCAGCAAGTGAGTGGTCGGCCCTCCCGCGTCTGCCTGTGCTGACGGTGCCTCCCGGGACCGCGGCTGCCCCGTGGCCCGCGCGGCCCAGGCCCCTGCGTGTCTGTCCCCCCGCCCGGCACCCCCACCCAGCAGCCTCGCCTCCATAGTGTTTCCGTGGATCGAAGCAGAGACCGTGGCCCCCACCTTAGCCTTCGTAAGATGCCTCCCTCCCTACACCCGTCCCCGGGTGTCACCCTCCCGTGGCGCCTGGATCGCCTGCAGAGTGCATCGTGAGCGCCGGCTGACTGCAGCAGCGGGAGCGAGGGGGCGAGGGCTGACCAGCCTCAGCTGTCACCGATGTGGTGGCTCAGCCCCACACTCCAGCTTGGGCGGTCCCTGGGCATTGGGCAGCTCCCCCTGGCCGGCCCGGTGTCCCCACGCGTGCAGCCCGGATGCAGTGATGGCTGGTTTGTGTGGGGGTCGGAGGACACATCTCATCAGAAGGCCATGCAGTGGGAGCCTCTGCGGGGGGGGGGGGGGGGGGGGTGTCAGCCCCGAGCAGGGGCAGCTGGCTTGCCAGGGAGGGGTGCATTTGCTGGGATCGGCGGACCAAGTCAGGGCAGGCCCCACCGTGGCACAGAGTCGGAGGGAGCTGAGATGTGCAGGCTCCTTCCTGCAAGTCAGGGGGCTCTGTGGGCCGCTAACATGGGGGACCCTGCTGGCTCCTGATGCCGGAGGGAGCGGGTCTGTCACAGGAACCCACCGTGCGGGGGAACCGCGCAGAGTGAACCCTGCGTGCACGCACACCCTCACGCAGGAGTACCGGCCACACCCGGGGAATCGGAATCAGGCCGCCGACGTGCCAGCTGCTCTGGTGCTCTCGTGCTGCATGAGGCCACCCCGGGGGCAACGGGGCGGAGGGGGCGTGGGGTCCCTCCGTCTCCTTCCTCGCGGCTGCGTGAGAGTGCACGCTTCTCTCAGAACAAAACGTTTTCAGTTAAAGCCCCCAAGCCAAGATGATCCAGGCTGGATGGGGCTGGGGGAGGTACCAGCCGTGCCTCTGTCGTAGTAAAGGAAGGGGTGACTCACGTGAGGGCAGCCCCGGAGGCCGAGCCCTCGAAGGCACCATAGCGAGCGCCCAGCCCCCAAGCGCTGGCTGCCTCTGGAGCCCACCCACACGCACGCCTGTCACTCAGCGGCCTTCAGAGCTGTCCCAGAATTGTCAGGGAGGCTGCGTGGGTGTTGCCATGGAGACGTTATCTTTGAACTTCTTGGGTTTGGGGCACAACCGTTCCCAGTGGGGAATAACAGGGGCCCTGAGGTCAGCAGACCTTTGAAAGCAGATCTTGAGGGCTCGATTTACAGGCTCCTCTGCTGGAAGGCAGCGCTTCCTCCCTCCGAGGCTGGGGGGGTCGGACAAATGCCCTGCGGCCACCGCGGCCCTGGGGGCTTGAACCTCCCCCCCCCACCCTTCCTCTCCTGCCTGAGGCCTTGGGACCTACAGAAGGTCCAGAGCTTTGAGGGAAAGACAGCGGCATTAGCTGTGGTCTCCCCACAGCTCGAGAAGCTTACCCCTGTCGGCAGCTGGAAACCTGGAAACCAGTCATGACCACACTGGGAGGAACGTGGCAGCTTCAGCAGTGGGGGGAGGGGGGATGCACTGGGGCAGCGGGTGTCCCCAGTGCCCGTGGCCTCCGCGCCCGACTCCCGCTGGGCGGGGCCGAGGGCCAGCCCCGGTCAGCAACGACAGCGGCCTCGGCCACCAGCTGGCGAGTGCCTGCCCTGTGCTAGGCACTGACCACACCTTCTCTTCTTTAGACCTTACCGTCACCTCTCCCATTTCACAGCTGGGGAAGCTGAGGCTCAGAGAGGTTAAGTGACCTGCCCAGGGGCACACAGCTGGGCCTTGGCGTTTGAGGGCAAGCCTGTTCACTTCGCCGCCACACGGCCTCCCGCCGTGCTGTGTTGACCTCAAAATGGTCATTGCGGTCGCTGGTAGAGCGGCTCCCACCATGTGTCCCATGCTGTGCCGGACGACGTGCCTGCACTGTGTTCTCTCGTCAGCACCCCGAAAACCGGGCCGAAGCCCCCCCAAGCCCGCCCAGTACTCGGGAGCAGCGCCCCACACGCGGTGTGCCCCCCGCCATGAACAGCACCCGCGGCAGATACGCGTGCCCTGTGGCCCACCCGCTCCCTCCCTCGCAGCCGGATGCCTCTGCCACCACAGCCGGGGACAGCGAGGGTCATCCCAACCCAGCCCAAGTGCCAGGCCCTGACGGGGGCACGTTCGTCACACACCCTTTGTGGCTCATGGCTTCGTAGGGCAGCCCGGACCCCTCTTGGAGGGAGTGGGAAGCCACCTGCTGAGTAAATAGGCCGCCTCCCACCCAGATGCCAAACGAACGTGGGACAGAATGAACCGGAAGCAAGAGCCACGTCCCTGGAAACATCTTCGATTTCCCAGATACGGCTTTTATTCTCTCGGCTGAGCCTCCGGAGGCGGCTGCGGCTGCCAGCTCTCGCTCCACCGCTGGGCCTGGGGCTCCCCGCTCTGTGCGCCTCAGTTTCTGCCCCTGTAAAACGGGCCCCTCTCCCCGGCATTTCTCGTGGGGCCAGGGTGGCGGTGGAGGAGGTGTGCTGGCACCCAAAGCGCCCAGGAAACGCTGATGGTGGCCATCTGGAGTAGGAGGAGGTGGCATTTCCCCCTGTGACGCGGTCCCTCTCATTGGCAACGGCTGTGGGGTCTCGGGGGGCCCCGGGGTGAAGCCCCCGCACGTCCTGACTGCCCGTCTTGTTGCAGGGACGGGCTGCCCTACTGCGAGACCGACTACCACACCAAGTTCGGCATCCGCTGTGACGGCTGTGAGAAGTACATCACGGGGCACGTGCTGGAGGTGAGTGGGCCTCCGGGTGCCCTCTCTGGGCAGGTCCTGCTCTGTGCCTCACGCGGCGCCCCGTGCTCCTGTGTGTGCGTGCAAGGATACGTGCCCCCGAGCCCTGGCCTCCTCACTCCTCTCAGCTCTGCCGGAAGACAGCGTCCTCAGCCTTCCGGGGCCTGCTCACTGAGGGCCACCTCCTCCAGGAAGCCCTCTCCGGACAGTCTCCCCTGTGCCCTCTGCGAGCTGATGGAGTCAGTGGGAAGGGTTGAGATCTGGGTCCAGCCCTTCCGCATTAGATGGGGGTCTGAGACCTGGAGGAGGTCCAGGAGGCAGGACCGGGTGCCCGTAGGAAGCCTAGAGTGGTCTCCCGGCAGGCCCGGTCACACGGCAGCCACGGGGCAGGCAGACTTTCTGGGGTGCCCACACTGTGTCTTTTGATCCCGGTGGGAGTTACGTGGCTGTGTCTCTTTGTGGAAGTAACGTATATCATGCACTTCGGTACGTTTGTTCCCAAGATACATCTCGTGGGACGACCGAGCTCCAGCCACCTGGTTGTCAGACCCAGCTCGTCCCCGTATCCATTCCTCAGCCCCTCCTTGGCTTTGTCCATGGGGAAGGCACAGGTGACGGGGGCCTCAGGGGACAGGGAGGCGGGTCACAGAGGAGCCCCCGGGGGCGGGAAGATAGGGCCCCCCCCCCCCCGGCCATCCCTGACAAAGGCTTTTGAGCCAGGGAGTGCCTGGGGGCCAGGGGCAGTGGGACACGTGGGGTGCCCCTCGCGTCCCCAAGGATGTCTGCCCTGCCTGTACCCACAGCCAGTGCCTGGCCCACGAGCGGGGTCTCAGGTGCTGCAGTGGAATCATACCTGGAACTCTGAGTTGCTTTTCTCGAAATTATACCTGGCATCTGAGTGGCGGGGACAGAGTTGCTGCAGGCCCTCAACCCCACCTCTTTCCACCCCAGCCCTCTCTTGCCCCTGCACCCAGGGGTGGGAAGGGGAGAGGGGAGAGGGGTATCACACCCACAGGCAGCAGACCTGCCCCTCTCCTCATTCCCGGGGTGGGAAACCCTGGAGGCCAGCATGGTGGGGGCAGCCCTGCCTCTGCGGAGGGGCCCGAGGATGGGTGTGGTCACACGCGTGCGGACTGGGGACAGGGTGCAGAGTACAGAGAAGGGGAGAGCCGCGGGTAATGTGATCAGGGGTAGCTTCGCTTCTCAGCTGGTTTCCTTCCAGTTTTTTCTCTCTTGACCTAATTATAGTTGAGACCAAACCGTTTGTACGTGCCCTCCTCAATGCCCATCACCCATTTGCATGGGCCTTTTTTCAAACCGCTCGATTGGAACATAGCTCACGTGCGGCGCAGTTGATGGCTTGAACGCGTGCCTCCGTGGCCGTCAGTTTCTGCGTGGACGCACGCACCTCATGCCGTTGTTTTAGAGCGTTTCCAGCACCTCCAGGAGAACCCGACGTCCTGGCTGCTCCCGCCCCACCCAGCCCTGACACCACGTCTCTGTCTCTCTAGACTTACCTGTTCTGCACATCCACACAAATGGGGTCAGACGGCGGGTGGCCCTCTGACTGGCTGCTTTCTCACGGGGCGGGTTTTCAAGGCGCGTCCATACTGAGCGTGGCTCCGTCTTGCATTATCTTCCACCGTAGGACTATTCCAGAACCCAGTAAGCTGATGGTTTATTGTCAGACGGAGCATGGCTTCCTAGTTTTCTTTTCTTTTTTTTTTTTTTTTTTTTTTTGCATTTCTAATTTTTCTTAAGATTTATTCCCAGAAATGTCAAAGTTCAGTCAACAACTATGAACTTCACAAGAGTCTTGATGCTTGCGAAGTGCTTTCCAGAAATGTCATTCTAATTTACCCTCTTACCTGCAGAACTTGGTGTCCCATCCCCCACGGTGAGTGTGGTCTCTGTGGAATCCGAGCTGGTTCGACAGCTGGGAACGTGGGTCCTCGCT